GTTTAAGCAATAAACTTCACCAGGGGGTCAGAAAACACCAGCTAGCTGCGGACAGAAAAATACAGACGACAGGCGCATTTTTCGATGTGGTACGGTTGTTTTGTTTTGTAATGTTAGGACGTCGCCGTGTAAAGTAGCAAATAGCTAGAACCGTTCCCGTTCTTATTTCATACTTGACATTTCTTCTCAGTGCGTCAACAGGTAACAGCATACTTAGGAATTTTACGGTTTTTGAATTGTCGTCTTCCTCCTTTATGACTCAAAACGTCCGCGACGTTCTAGGTTTCCATGTTCTTGTATATTATACAAAAGACTATAAGGAGTGCGTAAAGGGCAACCTTCAAGTGCATCGTTCCAAATCAAAGACGTTTTGTTATATACGTTCCAGTAAATAAGGGTTGCGACAAAGAATCTGGACAGGACCTATCGCTCCCTTCGTTCCACCCATGTCTCACTCCCGGTTCTTCTTTTCCCCCCAACACGTTCTTCCCTGTTCTATCCCACTCTATTAGATTAGAACATTTTATTTTTGAAAGCTCTGGCTCAAATGCGTATAACAAAAAGTTCGCTTCTTGGACAATCCTACACACCTAGTGACGTCATAACGTCCTATCGGTCGGTCTAAACCAGAATGACGGGATGATGCCTTTTATAGTTAAAACTCTTTTTGTCTCTGCCCTACCCTGCCTGAACGTAAGGCCGTCGATTTATGTCTGTTGTCATTGTACTGCCTGTCGGTTCGTTTGCGGCTGTCGTTTATTATCATTGGGAAAAGTTCTCGACGACAAAAAAGTTTTTTCCAGGTATTGCAGATTGTTGTGTTCAACTCGTAACGATAGCGATGTCACCTGCCTTAACCTCCTTCTTGACCCTTTTCTTGCCGCTAAATTCTTTATGACCTAACCCTGGTCAGACGTGACATAGCCGTAAAGTGCGGTAAACGCTACCTTTTGTTTAGTTTGTTTTCTTTTCATGATTGAGTCCGACAAAGCTGCCGACTGTACAAAAGAACAGACCCCTCGGCGGCCTCTGGGACTACTATCATACCTGTGTATATCTGTGTATTCTAGAGGAGAAAAAGTTCCACGTCAGCTCCGCAGGCAGTAGCCTTCCGCCATGTCGCCGGAGGAGGACAAACAGTCCCCGGAGAAAGAGTTCGTCGGTAACACGACTCTGCACGGACTCAATCGGGTAGGTTCTGCATCTTTCCTCTCGTAGAAAAAAAGTTTGGGCCCTTTCCACCGAAGGAGGTCATTGAGTGACAAAATAGGATTTGAGCTGTTAAGCGATGGTTTAAAGACAACAAAACAAGCAAAAAGGAAAAAAAAGTGCTCGGTGATTTGGTCGTCCGGCGGTACGCTGCAGCCAATAGTGGAATTAAAAGAGTGTGCGTCCGAGTTGGTTTGGCAGAACCGGTAAACCGCCTTTAGGCGTAACGCACTAACTTGAAATACAAGCTGTATTAGACCAGTTTGAACAACTCACACTGGGAACGGCCGTGCGCTTTTTGACAGAGACATGACTAACCCACCACGTACATTTTTTGCAAGTTTATCAGTCGTTTAGGCAGTTTTTAAGTGAAGTGACTACATTGATGCTCTTTTGACCGCCCGTTGCTCTAACTCTTTCCCCAGATTGTCATCGCTCCCAGCGGTTACTTCCAGGCCCTGTGGGTCCTCGTCATTCTTGGCTCCTACGCAGGCTTTGCCTTCATGTTCAGCTCCATGTAAGTATCTACCTCCATGTACTTTATATACATGTAGTCCCCGCCTTTGTGTTCCACACATAGCTAAATATGGCCTCCGAATTCCCCCCTACCATGGTTGGGAGTAGATCAAGACCAGAGTCGGCTGTGGTCGGCTGGTGTTCGGTCAGGTATGTTTCACTATATTTTTTATACAATTGGGTGTGGACGGGATCCGGAGGTTCGACCATGACTAGCGGGTGGTTGGCTGATGTTCGAAGTAGGTCCGGGTATGGTTGGCAGTGAAATTTGACTTAAAAAGATTGGCGTTGCCTAAAACTAGTCAGATTGCCAACCTTGGTCAATGTTTTTTTTTAGAGAAATCTAATGGTTATACACATTCATAGATCGATATATGCATATGACTAGATACGTAGTATAACATTACATACCTTGTAGCTTGATCCCTTAACCCATGCCAGGCCAGGGTCGTGTGGGCACTGCATGGTGGAGTGTCTGACCATCTGCCGCCATCCCTCTCGGCTGTGAGCTATCGTTGGGGTTTCCGCAGGGTTTTTTTCCTGTCCATTCTTGGATGTTGTCAGCCCATTTTTCTTCTGCCTTCCCCTTTTTCTCGCTCCTTTTACTGTTTCTTGAAGGATTGTTTTTGACAGTCCATGTGACCTCATTACATGTCCATACTATTTAAGTTTCCTTCTCTTCACGACTGTCAGGGACCTTTTATACTGACAGTGCTGTTTTATATAATTACACTGTTACGTTTGCAACACGGGCGAGGTATGTCATCCCTAAAATGTTTCTAAGGCACCTCATTTCTACTGTATCCTTCTTTGGAGCTCAGCATTTATTGTCCATGATTCACAGGAGTACACAGAAACATTGAGAATACAAGAGCCTGTAGTAATATTATCTTTCACGCTGATGTTCCTATCTTTCCAGATTGTTTTCAGTTACATATTACATACACAGATATATAATATACATACATAGATACATAGGTGCGTACAGATAGAAGACAGATAGATAGGTATAAAAAGATAGATGGATAGATAAATAGATACTAGTAGTTAAACAGGGGTGTTTCTATTGATGGATTAATTGATTGATTGGTCGATTGATTGACATATAGGTAGACATGTTATGATGTGTGCAAACAATCTAACCTGAGCTTAAGCATACTGTACAGGGAGTATGTTTGTGATTGCATCACTGTGATTGCAATGTATCCTTCCGCGCTCTCCAGGATAATGGACTATTTTCGGTACGACACCATAACCGATACAAAGTTGAAGTTTGCCGATGCAATACCATTTCCGGCCGTCACAATCTGCAACATGAATAAGTAAGTAGCTTCCAATATAATTCTCATTAATAGTGGGAATGGAGATAGATGGAGAATACTTATTCTGTATCCTTATACGAATCTATCTGCTTAGCCGGTATAACCACCCTTCGGTGTAATACACCAGCTTCTGTATCTGTATAGCCGGTATAACCGGCCTTCGGTGTAACACACACGCATCTGGCAGTGTATGCTTGTTATAATGTAAGTTATTCATCAATTGATAAGTTTTCTTCCCGTAGGTTTGATTCCACCAAACTAAAGCTGGTGGAGTGGTCGTACCTGTCCCCATTACTGCTGGGAAAAGAATATTCCACCTCCGAGCTCCTAACTCTAGGCTTGCAACCTGACGAAACAATCAACTCTAGCATAGCGGTGAGTAAGGATGGAACCTTTGTCGGTTTATTATATTTCACTCCGTACCGTTAAACGTTCATTAGACAACTCTATTTATGTGATGTTTATTGGCTTATTGGCTATTCATTTGTGTCGAAACAGAACATATCAATAAAGGACTTCGTCCTCGAAAATGGCTTCGACATCAACCAAGATCGCATGGCGTTGTGCTACTGGAGAAACGAGGCTTGCAGTTATTTGGTAAGCCTTTGTTCTTATCAACTTTTATACAGCTTTTCCCGCCTTTTGTTCCAAAGAATTCCATTCCTTTTTTTCTACAGATTAATTCAATTATTTTGTATGGGGACACAATCCTTATAGTTCTCCAACTAGGTTTTTTGAAATGTTACAAATTTGAAACTATAGTGTTGTCGATATTACTGACCGTGACTTTTTGCAGGACTGAAATAAAAAACACAACTTTTCCCGCTAGCTTCTTCACGAGCTGACAGACTGAACGTTTAATTCCGACAGAACTTTACTCATTCATACACCTTCTTTGGCAACTGCTTCACCTTCAACTCCGACAAGTCGAACATGCTATGGCAGACGATGGAGGGGCACGGAAACGGCATGATGGTGTTTATAGACATCAGAGCGGTAAGCTAGGATACATATAAAGATTTAAGCTTACTTAAGGTGCGTCAATGAGTGACACTGCTTGCGCGTGAAGGCATCGTTAAGGTAATATTTAAATGTTACGTAAAGAAACTTAAAGACTGACTAAAAAGAACCTCTACGCATATCGCGGCATATGCTCTTGGAGTGCTTATATAAAGATAGGTGTAATCAGTGTATGTGCGGCAATCCTCTTAATAATACGTTCCATATGGGAGATATTGTTACTCAAAAATCACTGGTACAATGTTCTCATTTTCTGGATTATCAAGCCCCTATTTTTTTGCCTCTGATACATCTTTTTCTATGGCAATCACTCGTGATCTTTATTTGTAATCAGATACAGATTCATGTACAGATACATAGTCATGCACAGATACAGATTCATGTACAGATATACAGACTTTCCGAGTATGATGACCGTGTCAGTCCCTACACCTGAGTGAGGGTCACAGTTGACACGGTAGCCTTCGCGTGGATTTGTTTAAGGTGGATAGCAGGTTGCGAATCTGAGACCCACACACTTGGGCATCCGTCTTCCCCAGCGGATCCATCGAGGGAGACGTGCTGGTTCCGGTTCGGGTGCTTGCAGCGAGCTGCCGGTGACTTGGTTACGCTCAAGTTCCGCCTTGACTACGCCAGCCCGCCTGGCGCTGCTCTCGTCCGCCAGCTGAAGACAACTGCCGTTGGAGACTTGACCCTCTAGTTGAGGGGGGATACGTGTAAAGTGCCTTTCCCAAGGGCACAACGTCGGTGCGCATGTTCGGACATGCCCCCGTGCTCCGACCCA